ATCTGGATAGAGAGCTACAGGCTATCTGGATAGAGAGCTACAGGCTATCTGGCTGGTTTCCACATTAGTAAAAAGTGTACAATCTGAAGTGAAAGGGAAGAGCTAAAAATTAAAATCCCATGCCAATGAGCTGTGATGGAAAATGACGATTGACTGCTTTAATCTAACAGTGTTGAAAGAAGTATAAAGCTGGAATTTTACATCTTTTACTTTTTTTGTTAAATGTGTCAGACATCACACTAATAAACAATCAATGCCTACAAAAATCTGGCTTTGCTACAAACTGAGTTAATTGCAGGCAAGTCTTCGGACAATACAGCCCCAGCAAGGAGATGGTCAATGTGCTGCCATAAAAGTGTCAGTTCCACTCTTTAACATCTAAACTGGCATTTTTGTTGTTGACCAAAGGTTCAGTCATCTGTGAATGTCATGTGGTAGAACCACAACTAAACGATTCTGACGCACTGCACTGAGATCCAAGACCCAAAGCTTGCTTTGTGGCTTTAAAGTCTGTAATTGCTCTTTCAGATCATTATCTGAATACACGATGGGTAACAAGTTTTCAAAATCTCAGTTAAATGTTTCTCCTGCACCTTAGCTTGCTCAAAAGCTGATTTTTTCCTTTACTTTCTAAATATCAAATCAAATGATGCATTTCTGTAAAATACTTTAAATCTACTGAGCAGTCACTATACGTAAAAGCATTTGGCAGATGTGGATTACTATCTACCCAGTTACTGATCGATCTCTGCACTTTGGTGAAGGCTTGACGAAAGCTGGAAGCATTACCTCACTTTGGACAATGTTATTCCATTGCTTCATTTGCTTTTATTATTTGTGTACTGTGTGTCAAGCTACCATTAATGTCTGACTCAGCACCTATAGAAAATGGTGATTGCACCAGCCAAACCTTTACCTTCATTATAATTCACAATGTAAAGTGTATCTACCACTGTCATTGGCCGCAATGTTCAGACAGATACATTGAAACCAGTAATTTATCTAAATTAGTGATGAAAAATGCATAACGCCAGCCTTGTTTTACATCAGATACACTCAATCATCTCAGCACAACGCTCATTCCATAAACACTAAGCCTTTACCAGTCAACGGGTTGAATTCAGCATATCTAGCTACAGTTGCCTACTTCGGCAACAATAGGCATGCCTGTACGCTGTTTTGGCAAACTCAATATAGTTTGGAAAATTGGAGGATGAGTTTATCCATCTATTCTCAATGTCACAAGACAATATATGCTTAGTCTATTACTGTCAATCTTCAAAGATCTGCATCCTTTTCTTGCAGATTCAAAGTGCTAATTATCCTAGAATCCATTATGAAACAGAGTATCTCTCACCCTTTGGTATTAGCAAAATCCTCCATTAGCTTTCAGGATTATTTTACTTATTATTTTTATAATGCGGTCACTCAATCCATGTCTGTTTGTGGGACATTGCTGTGCGCAATTGGCTGCCACATTCTGCCCACAAAGTATACAGTCAATTCACTTTACAGTACATTCTGTGAAGCGCTTTGAGGTGCCTCAACAACGTAATAAGGTGCTATATCAAATGTAATTTATTTATTATTATTATCCTAATCTCTCCTCTTTGGGATGGGGAGTGGAGGAAGGGAAGTGGTTTGATTTGCATACTCTTAAGCATGGTGTTGAGTTTCAACATATGTCAGACACCCAACTGACCAAAACAAATGAAATTCTAATCTGTTATTTCAGTTTTGTTTTAGAAAGTATGAGCTTTCTTAATCATCCCTCATCCTAATGCCTGCTTTAGAATGATCTCACTGGAGGATGATTCTCATTAGCTATTCTGAAACGACAATTTTCAGTCAATTCAGTATCAGGTAAGGAATGACAATCAGAGTGAAAGATTCTCTTATTAAAGGAGCTTTTGATGGTGCCTGTTTACAAAATATGAATAGCACTTTATCTTAGCAGCTTCCTTATCACAGATAGCTTCAGCAAATCGTCCTTTCCTCATATTAAATGTAGCACTAACAACTCAATGTTATTACATTAACTGCATGTTAATGAAAATGGGGATATTTTAAAATAAATTCGAGAAAAAACATCAAAGAAATAGATCAAAAGTTTCCTTTAAAGAAACTAGTCAAAGCCAAGTGCTTGACTGAAGCACAGTATAGAATCTATACTTAAAACTGTTTGCACCATTAATATTTCAGGATCTGAAATTTGGTGAGAGCTGTTACTAAATTAATGAGAAACTGTGATGTGAGTGAACTGGTGGGTGTAGAGGATTCATGAGGTGAAGCCATGGGACAGAAGTTATGTCCATGGCCCAATAAATCAGAACATGCAAACTTTCAAGTGAGTTACGGTCAGCAGTCTGATTTGGACCAGTCCATCATCTCCTGCCATATAAAGTGACATAGCCATGTGTAATGTGTGGGGGAACATAATACTACTGAGCAAGAGTAAATAGTGCACCAACTTCTAATGTAAATAGCAAAAGTAAATGGTCCAATACAAAAAGGGCAACAAATTACAATCTACTTGGATTTAGGAGTCTGTGGTGTAATTCAATGGTTAATTGAACCCATTTGAGAAAATAAACACAGACTTACAAATTCTCATTGTTTTGGTTCTATTGGAAAAAAAGTCTCTTTGTGCTGATATGCATCAGACCCTTGAAATCTATGCCTTTTGTCAAGACCTTATTTGTCTAAAAGTAAATGAATTGTACTCATGTGCTGTGTGCTTTATCAATCTGACAAGTTGCAGGAAGGTGGAATTTTACATCCCACTCAGTTGCCTATTTGACAGATAATTAGTTTCCTTGATCTGAAACACTTTCCAAATTAATGAATGAACAGAAGTAATGACAAAATCTGATGGATATCTCAACTCCAATTCTTAATCATCTCATCATGGGCCCATATGTCAGCCCATAGTAGGACTCTGGTCTCTCAGTCTCAAGCTCCATGTCTAGATGTGGAATCACATAGTCTAAGCTGATGCTCCAATGCCATGCTGGAGTGTTTTACATTGTTGAAGGTGCCATCCTTTGGATGAGACATTGAGCGAAGGTCACGTCTGGCTGTTCAGGTGGACGTTAAAGATCCCGCAGCATTGTTCGAAAAGTGAAGGGAGTTTCTCTCTTCCGATGGCCTGGCCAACATTCCCCCAAATAAAATTAGTCACTCAATCTATGGGTGTTTGCAGAACATTGCAGTGCAGAAACTGGCTGCCGCATTTTGCCCACAAAATACAATCAATCCACTTGACAGTATATATTGTGAAGCGCTTTCAGTAGCTTTGACAACACGATAAGGCACTATATCAAACCTCAGGATTATTATTATTATAGTAACATACAATGACAGAGGTCTGATATATAGAAGCAAATATTTCATATTGCTAATCAATACCACATCCTCATTTTTTGAGCTCCAATTCAGCCAAATCACCAATGGCTGTTGCTGCAGTCGACCACAACAGCAGGGACACAAAAAGCATCTTTCACATAGAAAAATATATCAAAGCACATCACAGGACACCCGTGTGCCCACATATAACTAAACCAGGGATTATTAATCAACAATCCTGGTGGAATTTATCCCCAAGGTTTACTGAAGAGTGCTCATCTCATTTGTAGTTCTGTTTGGGATCAGACTTTCTACACAACACAGAGCAGGACTGCCTGATGACCAGAACATATCTAACACAATAACAAAGCAGGGCCCTTGGTTTGCAATACACCGTTCTATTTACTTCTAAAATCAGTGCTGTAAAGTAGTCAATTAGTGTGGAAACAAATACAATAAAATCAATAACTTTATAACCACAAGATTTATTATACAGTTATAGTGTTTGTACAGTACGAGAGGTATACAACTTTAGCTTGTATCTGTGGTGAAATTATGAAGAAAGTAACTAAATACGTTAACCGTGGGTAACCTACTATTGTAAGATGCACCACTCAATACACATATACTTTATGCAGCCTTAAACTGAGATACTGAGACAAAACAGACAAAACTACAGTAACTTCTTGTTAATTCTAGTGTAGATGCACTTGGGACTGGGTAAGATAATGCACATTATACACACAGCAGTCCTTACCTATTCTAATCCAGCAATTTCCCCAATCACAACCTACACAAAGACTGTAGTTTGCACACTCCACCTATATTCATACAACAGTTTAGTGTGCAGTGGGTAAGGTGCCAGTACTTAGCTTATATAATCAAAGAGATTATGGGTGGCCTGACTGCCTGCCCACAGCAGCATATGAAGCCTTGACACAAGGTGAAAACCATATGATTGGCTAGCAGCAGTTTCCATTGAACCCTAACTCTACCTATGTTCAGCCAGGAACAAACTGAGGTTCTATTTCACACCACTACCAGCCTTCGCAATACCGCCAGCATAAGTAAAATAAATTAAAACCCCAATGATTTTCTGTCTTTGGCACTCAATCTATCCCTGGATTCAACAGCCACCTGCTTAAAGAACCAGCTGACTTAGAGAAAGGTAATGTAGATTTGTCATATAGTACAAGAATATGCACTACATTTATCAACGTTCTTTCTTATTTATCTTTTTTTATTCTTTTCACTTTCACTTCTTTGTCCTGATATTAATCACTGATTATGGTTATATATCTCTCTCTGGCACAGGACTCCACTACATCAAATATTTACATCATAATATTTTCCATCAGAAACTGCTGATGCTTTAGGAATATCTATTAGTTAGTCTCCCCATTATTCATAGATAAAAGGTAATTAATTTATCTTCTCTATTAGCACTTCTTATAGTACAAAAAAAACATTAGTGCTCTTTTCTAAGATTAAACTCTCAGAGACGTTAGTCTAAAGAGAAGCAGTTTGCGATTGTCCTTACTCAGATTACTCCTTTAATTCATCAGAGAATTATTATCTTTATTACCTCAACATCTGAATTCAAACATGCAAGATGGAATCCGCCATAAATCCAGTCTCGGGTTATGATGACTTACATGTAGTGAAGGTGAGGATTTTTGGCAAATGCTCTTGGAGAGATCGACCGAAGTCCTGAATTTATGATTGTCCTGGAAATGAGAACAAATGAGAAGGTTACAAACTCTCTGTGCTAATAATTGTGATTTATTCCCACTTGGTATCAAGCCATGGGTTTGGATAAACCATGAATTCACAGTAAGGATTAAATATTGACAATGAATTCCATAGTGAGATAATACTAGATTTAAACCTGAAAATAAAATGTGTGAAAAATGAAAACTAGATTTGGATTCCTTCAGATTAAAGTATAAAAAGATGAACAGATTATTCCATCAATTTTTCTCATGGCAATGACCTTGAATTCGATTGACTGAAGTCTTGTTCGATGTACAGTGGGAGACATGGATCAGGCTATTGTATTTTCTGTTATAGAGAATAGATTGGGCCTGGAAATCTGAAACATTCTTGGCACTTTTTCAAGAGCTACCAAGCCAGTGTCAGAAAGAATTGTGCCTCGAGCCAGTCAACACTCTCCTGTATTAGTGCATTACTGTGCGTTACTTTGCTAGCTCAGTGTGTGCAGTAGCTGTCGGATCTGGGTCTGAGACAGGCACTTACGAAGAGAAGTGACTTCCGAACAAAGATGAAAGGACAGCTCGTCAACCCAGCTGATCTTGTAAGCCTCTTAGTCTCTTGGTATAAAACTATTTAAAAGAATCTGCTACTTCCCTTCCCTTTTACCTTAGAATGAAGAGAATATAAAGACAACACAGCCCAACACAACATCAACCCATCAGAAAATGCCCTCAATAGCAAGCTCTGCACATTCAAAAATATGGAAAGGCAACACTTGAGTCGATATGATCCAGGTGGTGCTTTCAAATGCAATCTGACCTTTCTTCTAAGTGCATTGTTTCACCCATAAAGTACAGTCAATTCACCTTACAGTATATTTTGTGAAGCACTTTCAGACATCATGACAATGTGATAAGGCGCTATATCAAATGAAAGGATTATTATTATCTACTTATCTTTTTATTTTTTTTGATCAACTTTGACATAAGTGAAAACCCATCATTATGTCTAAGAGTATCCAAACCAAACCAAGTTCCATGCATGCTGCCTACACACGGAATTCCTATGTATGGAATGTGAACTCTCTCCCCAGAGGAATGCCCTCCATCGATATTTATCTACAGATATACACAGTGAGAAGGGAATAGAAAAGTGAGGGAGTAAGGAGTGGGTGGAGTATAAACACTGGCACAGACTGGTTGGGCTGAATGGACTGTTTTCGTGCTGTACAGTCTGTAAATCTATGTAAATCCTAATTTACAATAAACCCTTACCTAATTTCGGAGAGCATTAAGTGCAGTTTGGCAAGAACTGAAGCTTGTCGACTCCAGAGTGTGCTTTGGAATTTTGGAGTTTAATCAGCTAAACCTGCACAGCTTGCTGTCGAGAGCATTGTCAGGCCAGCTTCCCGCTGTGCTGCTTGCCAACCACGTCACCTTGGAACCAGTTTAGCTCCCCCTCAGAAGAGCATACTTTCTATATTTCTGCACCATGTAGGATGTGAAAACTTCAATAAGGTCTCAGAGTCTTTTCTCCAGTACATTCCCTCATTTCCATTGGTTCTATACATAAGTGCTTACTCCCTATGCTGTATCTTAAATATCAGAATATCCTTATTGCTGTGAACAGAACTGTTGAAGAACTATAATTCCAATACTCTGATGGTTAAACCATGAGCGAAGCTGAGAATCTCACATTCCTGGTGCAAACTTTTATATTCTGAAAAATAATTCTATTTTTAAAGGTCAAAATACAAATAAAAACTGTCTTGTGACTGTCTCCACCACTGTGAAGTGCCCTAGGACTCTAGAAATGCTCTATAAGTATTATATAAATGCAAGTTGTTGTTGCTGGTGGTGCTGCTGACACTAGTCAGAAATCCATCCTCACCAATGCATATCCTCACCTAAGGTCTAGATATACAAATGTTCTCAGCTGCAAATATAGTGCTAAATACAGTAGGATGAGCTGCTGTGGATGATTATTGTCCACAGGAGTTACACATGGAACCAAGTAGTGAAGTGAAGTCATGGAATTAAACTCATTAAAGTAAAAAACAGTGTTTCCTCATTTTGGGCAATGAAGCAGGTTAGAGACAATGTCAGACACAAGCTGGTGTGATTTACAGACAGGGAAAGATGGGGGAAGATGGAAGGATTGAGGCAAGGAGTTCCAGAGATTTGTGGCATAGTGGCTGAAAATAAAGGTCAAGTGCAGCTTTCGGGCAGGATCTGCGGAGATACTGCCGTCCACAGCAAGAAATCTGCAACCTACGACATTCTTTCATTCTTTAAACCTACAAGGAAATAGTGCAGCACTACAGACCAGAAAAGTGTTTAATATTTGCCTAATGCTAGCCTTGGTCTATCATCTCCTGTCAATGCACAAACTCATTTATTTGTGCTGATTCTGTAATAGACCTGAACCTGAAGCCAGTTAAGCTATGAACTCAACACTGAACTTTGATAGGCTGCCACAGTCTGTTAATAGACAGAAGGAAAAGAGACCGGCTTCATTCCTCAGCCTAGTCTTGACCCTGGGCTAAGTGAGGGACTGTACAGCTCCCTGGTTCAGCGCAGGGTTCTTGTGTCACGCTGCTCCACTTTTTATGCAGGAGGCAAGATGCAGTAATGACTTCAGTGGTGACCTGATGAGTGCAGAAGCCTCTGTCTGTCTAGCTATAGCACAGAGGCTGAGCCAAACCGTGGCATTCCACTAGAGTTGCCATGTACAGTATATGGTGTCTGAGGAAATAGTCATAATCATCTAAACACTTGTTCTTATATTACAACCCTTACTCTAACCCATCAAGAGCATAAATTGTGTGATGGTCATATTTTTGCACCTGCACTGCACAACTGTAGAGGGCCAGTGGATCATCTCACTCAGCACAGGTAGAAACCTTCCGTCTTCAGTTTTATACCACACAGAAATCAATCTTTTAACGTGGAAGTTCACACCAAGGTATTTGACTCAAAAAAATACCTTCATACAAAGGTATTTTGACTTCAGATAAGGCAGGGACTTTCTTCTAAACATTAACCCCTCAGAGAAGTTTAGGTTTATAGAATTATATTAGTTATATCAGAGCTTCAGATCTAATGGGTTGTCACCTTAACTCAAATCAAATAGAATATACAAATTGTGACCAGTTCACTGATGCTTGCAGAGCTCAACACAGCATCTTTAATGTAATGCTTTTAAGGGTAGAATCTGTTCTAATTAAAAGCTGTTTCCAGAATTCAAGAGCATTCTGAGTGAAACAAGCACCTTTGCCAGCTTCTTGAATTACCTGCTGGACTTTAAACCTGGACACTTGCTCAGTGCAACTCAAGTTAACACATCTTAATTTTATTGACTTACTTACAGATTCTCAAGTCCAATGTAAGGTTCCATGTCAAAAGCATTTAAAGTCTGCAGGCTCTTCTGGTTCTCAATGTATCTGTAAGACATTCAATACAGAAATAAATTAAAATTGATAAATGACTTAAGATGGTTTATTTCAAAAAACAATTAAAAAAGTTTCACCAATACAAGTGCAGCTGGAGTATATCCTCACAAACCTGAAGTGAAACCTTCTCATTTTAAGTGTCTTGGTGTTTTTCATTGAATCAATGGCAATAATTTTGTTTTCTTAAAAACTGAGACCTCAGTTTAATATCTCATCCAAAGGATACACTTCAGACAATTCCACAGAACCCCCCAAGCATTACAGTAAGAGTAGGGGGTGGCTGAAGGCACGGACAAAGAGGAGGGTCTTGAGACATGCCTTGAAGGAGGCAAGGAAGGGAGCGAGGCGAAGGGTGTGGTTAGAGTTCCGGAGGCTGAAGGTCTGACTTCCGATGGTGGGGCCGGGCGGGGGGGGTGTGGAGCAGGCCACGTTGAACTGCAATTTTAATCTAGAGTGTGCAACACTTGCTAACTCAGATGTGACTGCTACCACTGAGCCAGATCGACAAGCTTATTTTACTTATCTTGTGACACTCTGAGCCTCAGGCAACCTCCTCTTATTATCCCGTTCATTTTAATTCTCTGAGTAGATGAGTTCATCTAAATAGTAGATCACCAATCTGATGTGTAGATTCTGAATACAGAATTTTTCAGTTCTGTGTTTTTAAATAAAGGATCCAGGAGCTATCAGCAATTATAGCGGGTTCTGATAGCTCCGGGATTTACTGTAAAGAACTGCTGTTTCTTTGATGTTGATCAACCCACAGACTTGACAACACTCTGCTTTATGTCAGAAACATTAAGATATTGCATCTGAAAACAGTTTTTATTATAAAACCCGCATGAGATTGCGTGCTTCTGATTTCTCATTTTGCACATCAGATTATTGTTTGGCTTGATAGTGATTGATATAATAAACTAGAGCTTTATGCTGGCTCTGACCTTCTGCAAGTCCCTCATTCCATCTGCTCTACCATCAGTGGCCGTGCTTTACAGCACGACACCCCGAAACTCTGAAACCCTCTGCCTCAATCCCTCTTTGTCCGACTTCAGATCGCAACTGTAAAACTTCCTCTTCGTGCCTCGGGCCATCTTCCCTCTCTTTCCAGCAACGACTCAAGCTCCACCATTGCTCAGCACTCCAAGACACTACTGAAAAGCGCTATATAAATGCAAGTTGTTTTTGTTGTTTTCGCTTCACAATCTGTCATGTACTTTAGGAACATGTGAATGTACAGACTGAAAAAGACTAGTGATTCCTTCTGGCTACCCACAAGGTTAGAATTAATGCAATTAAACAGCTAAATAATCCTACACTTTTCAATGTTATCATGTTGAGATATTTATGTTGAACTTTGTTTACAAGATGATATTGATGATCATAACATATACCACAATATAATTAGACATGTTCATTTTTTAGAAGATCTGTTCAGGGGGAGGTTAAAGATCTCATAGAATCATAGAATCATACAGCACAAAAAGAGGCCATTTGGCCCATCGAGTCTGTACCGGCTCTTTGAATAGATCAATTAATGTCAATCCCACTCCTCGGCACTTTCCCCATAACCTGCAAATCCGTCCTCCTCAAACACCCGTCCACCGCATTTTTAAAAGTAGTCATCGAATCGGCCTCGACCGCCCTTTCAGGCAATGTGTTCCAGATTCGAACAACTCGCTGCGTGAAAAAATTTGTTCTCACCTCCCCTCGGCTTCTTTTAGATACTATTTTGAATCTGTGACCTCGAGTCACCGACACACCCACCAGTGGAAACAGTTTTTTCCTTTCTAACCTGTCAAATCCCCTCATGATTTTGAAGACCTCTATTAGGTCTCCTCGTAACCTTCTCTGCTCCAATGAGAATAATCCTAACCTCTCCAGCCTTTCCTCATAATCACGGTCCCTCATTCCTGGTACCATCCTCGTAAACCTCCTCTGCACCCATTCCAATGCCTTAACATCCTTCCTATAGTGCGGTGCCCAGAACTGGGCGCAGTATTCCAACTAAGGCCTAACCAGTGTTTTATATGGGTTAATCATAACCTCCTGACTCTTGTACTCTATGCCCCTATTTATGAAGCCTAGTATCCCATTTGCCCTTTTTACAGCTTTATCTACCTGTGCTGCCATCTTCAAGGATTCATTTACCTGCACCCCCAGGTCTCTCTGTTCCTTCATATTGTATTACCAGCCTGTATTGCCTCCCCTCATTCTTTCTACCAAAATGCATTAACTCGCGTTTCTCCACATTGAAACTCATCTGCCATGTGTCGCCCATTTTACCATTCTGTCTATGTCTTCCTGCAGTTGGCTCCTATCCTTCTCACTGTTTACCCCCTCCCTAACTTTGTGTCGTCCGCAAACTTAGAAATGGCACCTGCTATACCCAAGTCCAGATCATTTATGTATATTAAGAAGAACAGTGGTCCTAATACTGATCCCTGGGGGATGCCACTGTACACTTCCCTCCAGTCAGAAAAGCAACCGTTCACCACAACTCTCTGCTTTCTGTCTCCCAGTGAGTTCTAGATCCGCTGCCACTGTCCCTTTTATACCATGGGCTTCTATCTTTCTTACAAGTCTTTCATGTGGCACTTTGTCAAATGCCTTTTGTCCATATAAACTACATCAACTGCACTACCTTTATCCACCCTCTCCGTTATCTCATTGAAAAATTCTATTAGATTTGTTAGACAAGATCTGCCTCTAACAAATCCGTGTTGGCTTTCCTAATTAACCTATATTCTTCTAGGTGAAGATTTATTCTGTCCCGGATTATAGTCTCCAAGAGTTTCTCCACCACTGATGTGAGGTTGACTGGCCTGTAGTTCCCAGGTTTGTCCTTCTGTCCCTTTTTGTACAGGGAGTCACATTGGCCACTCTCCAGTCCTCCTCTGTCCAACGAAGATTGAAAAATTGTAGCCAAAGCCTCCGCTATTTGTACCAGTGCCTCCCATAGTAACCTTCGCTGCATCCCGTCCGGACCGGGTGACTTATCACCTTCAGCGCAGTCAACCTTTTCAGTACTTCCTCTCTGTTTATACTTATCCTATCCATTTCCTCTGCCCTCTATAGTAGTATAGTAGGCATAGTAGGTCGGAGAGGTAGGAAGGAGCAAGGCCGTGAATGGCCTTGTAGGTGAGGATGAGGATCTTGTATTCGATCCTCTGGGGGATGGGGAGCCAGTGGAGGCGAGCGAGGGTGGGAGTGATGTGGTCGCGAAGCCTGGTGCGGGACAGTACACGAGCTGCAGAGTTCTGAATGACCTGCAGCTTGTAGAGGGAGGGAGGCTATAACCGTATCCTTGATTAACATTGCTACACCCCCTCCTTTTTCTCCTTCCCTATCCCTCCTGAACACATTATAGCCAGGAATATTCAGCTCCCATTCCTGGCCTTACTTGAGCCAAGTCTCTGTTACTGCTACTACATTGTATCCCCCTATGACCACTTGAGCTGCAGCTCACCAGTCGTGTTTGCTAAACTCCGTGCATTTAGGCACAGACACTCCAAGACCCATTTGATCTGTTCTGCACTTCATGGTGCTATTTGAAAAGAAAATGTAGTTTCTCTTGATATCTTGACCAACAAACTTCAAACAAAATTTGGTCACTCACTCCATGGCTGCACAATTGGCTGCCACGTTTCAAAATATACAGTCAATTCACTTTAAGTGTATCCTGTGAAACACTTTAAGATATCTCGAAGACGTAATTAGTTGCTATATCAAAGGCAAGAATTATTATGATTATTATATCAGTTTTACTCAATCTTACTATGTTCAAAGTAATGGAAACAATTATTCTCCTATGAAGTCTAACAAACATAAGTAAATGACAGCATCAATGCCATTCTCCCCTGTCAAGAGGGGTGTAACTAAAATAGGGAAATCTAAGAGCTTATTAAGGTACTAAAATCACATTTAAAAATGGCAACATTCTGATAAAGCTAACAGGAAGTTTGACTTTATGAGTTTTTAACACTTGCTAAATGTCTTTTGGAAAATATTATCCACAAATGTCACCGTTAGTATATTATGCTTGGAAGGTAATCTTGTCGTTGTACTAATATTTATGTCACAGGTGGGTGAGCTCCAAAAACAAGCATTTCCCATTGTAGTTCATTGTTAAGTATTATTCTCCTCATGACTGAATCGACGAGGTTAAACCCAGTAAGAGACTCAATAAGTTCCAGAATTTTATCCAAATCTCACTAGACGACAACAACAACTTGCATTTATATAGCACGCTTCACACAGTGTCGTGTCCCAGAGAGCTTAACTATACTTTAAAGTTAAATTTGTCCACACACACCACAGGTCATTTCCAGTATTTTCTGAATAAAATTGGAAAAAATTCAAAACAATTAATTTTAAAATATTCCTTAAGTACTCAGAGGGAAAACAAGTTGCTAATTTATCTCTGCATTTACATTTACAATTGCACAAAATGTAAAAACATGTATGAATATTATATTGCAAAAGAAGTCATCACTCTTGCTATGCACCAAGTTTATTTTAAAAAGGACTTTTCAGTCTCGAGTCAGTTTCTCTTCCGTCCGCGAACCGCAGATAACTCAATAGTGCAGAATTAACAAAAACCTCCTTTCAAGTCTTTGAGAAAGAAAACAGATCCCTACTGGCTACTGTTAACTGGGTGCTTAATCCCAAATTAAATATTAATGTATCACTGTAATGAGGTGACATTCTTTGGAGAGGCTGACATGGTAATTGTGAAAACCAGAGGGACGCCTACAGCCGGATATTGGCAGCTTAAAGAAAAATTAAATCATGCCAAGCTTGTATTCTCAATAAGGATGAAGTATAACTCACATTAAAGAGATCGGCTTCAATGCAAAATTAATAACCAGAAGAATAAGGATATGGAGCAAATGTTGTCCCTGCTTAAAAGTTGATCCGCAGTCAAACCTTCTGTATGTGGTGCTCGACAAACAATATGTAAGCATTCAGACAAAGGAAATGGAATACATTAT